CCCCAATAGTTCCTACAACCTCTGGCCACACAAGGCCCACGGGAAGTACACAGACTGTGACTACCCAAAGCAGCCCAATGTCCAGGTTCATTGACAGAAGTTCTGTGAGCACAACCAGCAGCTCACTCCCCACTCACAGCCCTGCCTCAAGCTCGACCACCACCCCAGCCCCCCATGCCACCTCTCCCTTGACCACCAGCCCTGCCTCAAGCTCGACCACCACCCCAGTCTACGGTGCCACCTCTTCCCCGGCCACCAGCCCTGCCTCAAGCTCCACCACCACCCCAGCCCCCCATGCCACCTCTCCCTTGACCACCAGCCCTGCCTCAAGCTCGGCCACCTCTCCAGTCCACGGTGCCACCTCTTCCCCGGCCACCAGCCCTGCCTCAAGCTCGGCCACCACTCCAGTCCACGGTGCCACCTCTCCCTTGACCACCAGCCCTGCCTCAAGCTTGGCCACCACTCCAGTCCACGGTGCCACCTCTTCCCCGGCCCCCAGCCCTGCCTCAAGCTCGGCCACCTCTCCAGTCCACGGTGCCACCTCTTCCCCGGCGACCAGCCCTGCCTCAAGCTCGGCCACCTCTCCAGTCCACGGTGCCACCTCTTCCCCGGCCCCCAGCCCTGCCTCAAGCTCGGCCACCTCTCCAGTCCACGGTGCCACCTCTTCCCCGGCGACCAGCCCGGCCTCAAGCTCGGCCACCACTCCAGTCCACGGTGCCACCTCTTCCCCGGCCCCCAGCCCTGCCTCAAGCTCGGCCACCTCTCCAGTCCACGGTGCCACCTCTTCCCCGGCGACCAGCCCTGCCTCAAGCTCGGCCACCTCTCCAGTCCACGGTGCCACCTCTTCCCCGGCCACTAGCCCTGCCTCAAGCTCGGCCACCACTCTAGCACACAAGGGCACTTCTGCCAAGGCTACCACCTCCCCAGTTGGCAAGGGCACTCCATCCTCAGTTCCCAGCCACCACTCTGATACTCCGACCACCCCTGCCAGCCACAGAACCAGGACTACAGCCAGTACCACCGGTGGTAGCGTAGTGCCCCTCACCTCTTCCATTCAGAGGGTGTCCTTCTTCTTCCTGCTCTTTCATATTTCGAACCTCCCGTTTAACTCCTCCCTGGAAGATCCCAGCACTAACTATTACCAGGTGCTGCGGAGAAACGTTACCGAATTGGTGAGTAACTGCCCTTCCTCCACGCACTCCTTCGCAGCAGCTTCAGAACTGCTCGGACCGAGCACCAAACTTAGCACCTACTCTCCCCCCGCGTCCCCCTCCCTCTCTCCAGTTTTTGCAGATTTATAAGCAGGAGAGTTTTCTGGGCTCCTCTAACATCCAGTTCAGGTACAGTTCTGGGTGTGGGCTGTCTGGGGTGGGTGCATGTTGTCATGACTGTGGGGAAGGACGGGTGCTCTTACGGTTAGGGGAAGTGCCAGAAGCGGGACTGCACCTGAATCGCTCATTTCTCCATGAGCAGGCCAGGATCTGTGAGGGTGGAATCCATCCTGGCTTTCCGAGAGGGCACCACTACTGCCAACAACGTCAAGGCAGGGCTCGTTCAACTCGGAGCAGACAGATTCCACTGGGACGTCTCAGGAGTGAGCGGTGAGGCCGCTGTCCTTGCCTCTGGGGCCGCTCACTCTCCAGCACCCGGATTCCCGCTTCTCCCCCGGGGGGCAGCAGGGGAGGGTTGCCTCCTTGGGGAAACTGCCCTGACGACTGCTTATCCTTTCAGCGGAGGAAGTGTCCTTCCCCTCCTCTTCCCGGCCCAGGGCCGGGGTGCCGGGCTGGGGCATCGCCCTGCTGGTGCTGGTCTGTGTTCTGGTGGCGCTGGCCATCCTCTATCTCCTTGCCCTGGTAAGTTCTCGGTCTTCAGCCCTCACCAGAGTGCCCCTGCTGGAAGGAACTCCGGGGCCCCCCGTAACCTGCCGTCTCCCCCCAGGCGGTGTGTCAGTGCCGCAGGAAGAACTGTGGGCAGCTGGACATCTTCCCCACCCGTGATGCCTACCATCAGATGAGCGAGTACCCCACCTATCACACCCACGGGCGCTACGTGCCCCCTGGCAGTTCCAAACGGAGCCCTTACGAGGAGGTGAGCTGAGCGCGGGCCCACGGTGGAGGGAGAAGAGGCTCTGGCTGGGAAGGGGGCCCGAAGGGGTAACACGGAAAACCCAGAGACCTTAGAAAAGGTGGGACTGACGTGAAGTAAGCAGTGGAGGCCTGGCGAGGAGGTGGGTGGAGGGCACGAGAGTTTTGGGGAAAGGCCTGGGGAGACCATGGAAGAAAGGGGACCTCGTGAGGGAGTGTCCCCACGACCAGTGATTCCAGGAGAGCGCTCGCTGGTCAGCCAGGCTGGGGCACGGCCGTGTCTGGGGTGCCCAGCGGTGAAGTGGGTGGGCACCCTTCACACAGAACTTCCAAGGAGTGGGCATCTGTCCCCACTCTTCTCCTAAGAATGGAGGGAAGGTTGAGGAATGTTGGGGTGGGGTGGGGTGTCTCGATTCCAAGGCTGAAGTCTCACCAAGCCGGGTGAGCCTGGGAGGAGGGTTCTTGGGAGTCTCAGGGAAGCAAGGACCCCTCCCCCACTTCTCCCCTCTCCTGGCCCTTGTCCGCAGGACTTAGTAAATAATTACTTGGTCACCTGGGGCTGGAACTCCAGGTGGGGGAGGGGGACTTTCCTTGACCCCATTTTCCCACTCCAGGGCCTTCCTTCTTCCAGTTTACACAGATGCGCACACACACCTTCTTGGGCTGGAAGAGCAGAGAGTGGAGGGAGCCGGGGTGGGGGGCAGGAGGGGGCAGAAGGGAGGCTTGCTGGAACCAGGGGAGGGAGAGCAGGGGAGCAGAGGGAGGGGGAAAGGCCCTGTTTACAGTCACCTGGCTGCTGGTGGTGCCGGCAGGTGCTTGCTCCGAATTAACCCTTCGAGAGCCAGCCAGGCTCCCAGACCACTGCCCCTGCCTGGGGGAGGGCCGCCCAGGGGGCCCTGGGGTGGCAGCTTCTCCCATGGAAGCTTCTGCCCCTCAGCCTGTACCCCTCCCCCCTCACCTAGGTTTCCGCAGGCAATGGCGGCAGCGGCCTGTCTTACACGAACCCAGCAGCCACTTCTGCCAACTTGTAGGGGCACGTTGCCCTGCTGAGCATCCGGCCAGTGGCCTCCGTCATGGTCTTGGGAGTTTCAGGGAAGCAGTGCCTTCCCCCTCCCCCCCCTTTTCCTGGACTGGTGAGCCGGGAGTTTCAGGGGGCTGTGTGCCCTTAACCCAGCTCAGCCCTGGGGAGCCCATCCTGACTCCCAGGGATGTGCCTGGGGCAGTGGCTCCAGGACTGGCCCCAAAGCCCCCAAATGGGAGTGGGAACCTGTACGCAGAATAAACGTGGGCCTCCTCCGCTCCGGCTCTCATTTCTCATCTGTCGCCTGTGACCCTCAGGCAGGAGGGGCGATCGGATGGATGTGTGCGGGGTCCAGAGGGGTCTCTGGGGAGGCGGCGCGGGGAAAGGAGGCACGGAGCAGGGTTTGTTTGGGCAGCAGGGGGTGTGGAGCGATGACCTTGGGTCAGGAGTGGCCGGTGGAAGAATTTGAGTCACCTCTCGCCCATTGCTGGTGGCACAAGAGGAAGGAGGAAACGAAACCTAAGTGGCTGGGCCCTGGCTTGCGCACCCACGGCTCACCCCTGGTTTCAGCCTGGCCGGCTCGCCCCTGGTTTCAGCCTGGCCGGGCCACAGGCCTGCACCCTCTTCTCCCCTTGGCACGATGCCCTCAGGCGGTTCTATTCTGAGCCGGCTCGGGTGTGAAGTAAATCCTCAGGCAGCGATAACAGCCGAAAAGTCAACACGGGATAACAGCCACCATGTCAACGGGGCCCTGATAAGTGTTAGATCCGGGTCTGGCGCCAAGCCCGGTCCCCTCCCTGGCCACGGACCCCCCCATCCACCCACCCACTGGCTCTGGGGTCTGCTCCCCGCACCCTGGGAATGGGGAAGTGGTTCTGGTTCCCTGCCCCTTTGAGTTCAACCACATTCCCTCAGGGGCTGGGAGTGGTGTCTCATGCCTCTTTGGGGGACACAGGAGGTCACCAGAGCCGTGCGCCCCCTGGCGGCCATGGCGGACGCAGGCCTGGGCAGGGCACCGGTGTGGGCAGGAGTCTAGGGAGCGCCAGGCTTGGGGACCTTCTTCCCTTAGGGCCATAGCCATCCGGCAGCCCTGCTGAGCAATAGCTGAGCGCCCGGTCCCTCCGGCAGCCATACCAGCACAGAAGCTCAGGGATTGGCAGGGCTCGGAAAGGCAGAGAGTGCCTGGCCTCACAGTTTATTGTTTAGAAACCATGAAAATGACAGCTGTTGCTTGGCACAGGCCTAGCAGTCCCTACCGCAGCGGGCAGCAGGGGGCCCCAGGTCTTGTCTGGTCCAACCCAATGGGGACATCCAGCCTCCGCGTGGCCCCAAAGGGAGCCTGGGCACATCGGCATGGGTGCGGGACAAGGAGAGCATGCAGGAGGGGGAGGGGCGTACAAGGCATGCGGCTGCAGGGCACAGGGACCCACATAGACACGGGACAGGGTCCTCTTCCCTCCCAGGGAATGCCAGGCAGTGCCAGCCAGAGAGCCTGCCCGCTCCAAGGCCGTCGGCCAGCATCGGCGGGGCAGGCAGCTGGGCAGGGCAGAGGGCAGAGGGCAGAGCTGGGGGTCATGCCCTGGTTCCAGGAGCCTCCCTGCCACTTGGCCTGAGTGCTGGGGAGAAGGGGCAGGGGTGGGGGAGGGCTCTCTCCATGGCTTGGTTGGATGCCCCGAGCAGAGGACGGAGCAGGAGCCAGGCGGGATGGGGTCTGGATTAACAGGCAATGGAGAAATGGCGGCCAGCTAGAGAGGTGAGCAGGGGGGTGTCGCTTGGTGGAGAGAAGGCCCCGGGGAGACACAGACACGGGGTGAAGGACAGGACCTCAGGGAAGGCAGAGTTCGAGGGAGAAGCTGCCAGAGCCACCAGCCGGCTCCGGGAAGCTCGGAGGGCCGTCAGTCCAGCTTGGCGAAGCCCCCGATGGTCACCTTCCTCTCCGGCTTGGTGCCCACGGGCTCCTGGAGCTGCACGGCGCCCCCTCCGATGAAGCAGAAGGCGGGGCACACGGGCCCCGAGCAGTCCAGCGGGCACTCCAGGAGCCCACGGAAGGACACGGCGTCCAGGAAGGAAACCCGGCCCTGCTCGTAGTCCAGGCAAATGCCCAGGCGGGGGGGCAGGGGCACGGTGCAGCCGGCGGCCGGGCCGTCCCGCCCCGTCAGCCCTGCCCCGGCGCCGGCCCCGGCGCCCAGCAGGATCTTGCCCATGCCGATGGTGAGGAAGGCGAAGGGGGGCAGCGCCTCCACCGTGGCGTCCTCTGCCCCGCTGTCGTGGCCGCTGTCGGGGTCGTACCTGCAGGAGGGGGCACTGGGTTGGAGGGTGTTGGGGTGGAACGGGGAGTGGGGGGTGGGTGCCAGGGGGCTGAGACGCTGGAAGTGTGGAATGTTGGTTGAAAGGATGGTTGGGAACATTGAGGAGAAACGTGTGGAAGAAACGGGGATTAGAAAAGGGTTGGGGTGTGGTTTGACAGAAAAGGGGCACAGAAAGGAGATCACGCTGGCAAGAGAGGCATTGGGCAAGAAAGCTCGCTGAGGGGTGCAGCCGTAGCGGGGGGGGGGGGGAGAGGGGGTTTGGGGACATCCCGCTGGAGAGGGTCCTGGGGGTTAGAGAAGCTGGGGAATGAGGGTGAGAGGAAGGATGGTGGGAGGTCAATGGGGGGAGAGTGAGGAGGGTGGATCGGTGTTCCGATGAGCGATGTCAGAGGATGTGGGATTGGGGACGGAGCTGCGAGTGGGCAGAGAGCCTTCTGAAGACACGGGACTGGGGAGGGTGCTGGGAGGACGGGTTTGGGGAGGAAGGCACGTGGGAGGTGTTAGGCGGGGTGTTGGGGGTGAGAGGGTTGGAGATGGGAGGTTTAAGGAGAGGAGTTCAGGGCGTTACAAGATAGGGTTGAGGAAGGTGTGCAAGAGCAAGGCGTGTGTGGGGAAAGGTGTTGGAAACGGGATATCGGGGAGAATGGCGTGGAGGCGTGGAGAGGGGTCTCTTAGTCTTGAGTGACAGACGGAAGGAAGTGGAGGTGGTTCCCTCTTCTTCCCCAGCCACACACTCCAAAGCCCAGGCCTCAGAGCCCTCCCCTGGCCCCTCCCACACTTGCCCCGACACAGCCCCCTTCTCCCCCACCCCCCACCCCCGCCAGTCCTGGCTGCCATTACTTTACTGTGTCCTTCTAAGCCTCTTCCAGCTCCACCCCAGCGAGTCTGTGCTCCTTTAGCCCCCCACCCTGTCCCCAGCTCCCCACCTGGGTCCCCCACCCCATCCTGTCCCCAGCTCCCCACCAGGGTCCCCCACCCCATCCTGTCCCCAGCTCCCCACCCGAGTCCCCGCCCCCCCAGCCAGAGCGGCCTGACCTGGGGCTGATCACGTCGGCGGCGCCCTGGAAGCTCTCCTGAAGCTTGCTCTCCAGCCCGACGCCCACCTTGACCAGGTAGGAGGCGGGGTCCACGGCGCAGGCCCAGTAGCTGCGGCCCTGGGTCACAGCCACGTCGCCCAGGACCACGTCCACGCTCAGGTGGCAGCCGGTGAGCAGCCGCTCGGCCGCCAGGAGCAGGGGCAGCCCCGGGACGCTCCGCACGGCGCGCTGGTCCTTGCTGATGGCCAGCCTCTCGCGGCTGGAGCCCCAGCGGCCGTCCAGGAAGAAGTGGAGGACTGGAGGGGGAGGGGAGACAGGAAGGAAGGGCTTTAGGGACAGACTGGGACCGAGCGGCAGCACCGACACCGGGGGGTTCGGAACAGGGAACGGCTGCCAAGGGCGCTGGGAGCAGGGCCTGGCGGACGGGCACGAGGGGCACAGGGGAGAGAGAAGTGGAGATGCCAAGTGGGCACGGGACCCCGGAGGGTCTGGTGATGACTGGTGGGCACAGAAACCGGTGCCCGGGCCCAGCCACTCCCAGCGCTGCCTCTCAGCCCGCCCGGCTGCTCGTTCCACGCGGGGACACTCCCACCCCTGCCTGCACCCCGGCCCACCCTCTGGTCCTGACAGCCAGCCCCGCCCGCGCCTGCACCTGCCTGCACCCCCGCCCACACTGTGGTCCTCCTCCATGATGCCCCCGTCCCAGGCCCACCCTGCTCCTGGACAGTCGTGCTGCCATTATTAGCTCTGACTTGAGGTGGACACTCTAAGACTTCACATGTGCCAATCCCATTAATCCTCACAGCAGCCCTCTGAGGGAAGCACTGTGAATGCCCCCACAGAAGAGGAACTTGAGGTTCGGAGAGGGCGAATCACTTGCCCAAAGCATACAGATGGCAAGAGGCAGAGCTGGGGTCTGAACCCAGCAAGTCTAGCTCCAGCATTAGTGAGTGTGACCCACTGCACCACACGGTCTCTCCAGGGCTCACCCAGCCCCGCCGGCCGGAGCCTGGGTCCCGGCATGCCCTGCACCGCACCGCGCCCACCCTTCTGCCCACTCACCCGGCGCCGGGGGCGTGTGCAGGTGCACGTCCTCGCTGTACTCGCCGTAGCCGGCCTTGTTGCAGCCTCGCACACGCAGCACGTACACGGAGCCCGTGTCGGGGTTCTCCAGCAGGGCGCTGGTGCCCCTCACCTCCTCCCGCCGCTGCCAGTGGGCCGGGCCCGGCTGGGCAGGCACGTCCGTGCGCCGGAACTCGATGGTGTAGTGCCAGGCGGGCGGCGAGTGCGGGGGCAGCCGCCAGCACAGGAAGATCTGGTCGTAGGCAAAGGTGCGCTGCGTGTCAATGACCGGAGCCTCGGGCACTGTCGGGAGAGACGGCGGGTCAGTCAGGGCGGCCGCTGGCCGGGCGTGGGGGGGGCGGGGGGGGAGAAAAGCAGCGGGAGCCGGGGGGTGAGTGCGGGTGAGAGGCACCCGGGGAGAGACCCATCTGGGCGCCGGGCAGGGATGGGCAGGCAGAGCCCGAGGGAGGAGGAGAGAGGCAGGGGCTCGCCGGGCAGGCAGGAGGCCTGGGTGTTAGTGTGGTGAGCGCACTGGCCTCAGGTCAGCACCTCCCCTTTCGGGCCTCAGTTTCCTCCCTGTCAAACGAGGGCACCAGACCCGAGGAGACCCTTCTTTCTCTGCCCCTTTCATTCTAGGAATAAGGAGGAGCCCCAGGGCAAGGCCACCGGGCCCAGGCAAGAGGGCACTGAACAGCAAGGAGGGGACAGGGAGGGAGGGAGGTGAGAGTCAGCACGACAGAACGTGGGCGACCACGGAGGGCAAGCGGCAGGAGACAGAGGTCAAGGAAGAGAGAAGAAAAGTCCAGAGGGCAAGGGTCACAGGGACAAAGGGCAAAGGTTAGGCAAGCACCGAAGGAAGGCAGAAGAGAGACAGGCCACGGGGCTGGGGGGGCTGGGGGGACGGGGTCTGGTGGAGGCAGGACAGAGAAGGAGGCAAAGAGGGGTGGCCAAGCGGGTGGGGGCTGCGGGCGGAGCAGGGGCCCGGGCCGCTGACTTGCCTGGGGTGCTCCGGAGCAGAGTCCGCGGCGGCCACGCCTACAAACAAAGAGAGCGAGAGCAGCGCTGAGCGCGGGCGGCCGGCGTGGCCGGTGGGCGGGCGGGCGGGCGGGGTGGCTGGCCAGGCCGGGCAGTGGGCTGGGAGGTCCCCGGTGGGCACTGCCCCCCGGGCCCGCTGCTGGGGGAGGAGGGAGGAAGGCTCTAACTGGAATGGGGCCTGGCCGTCTCCTTACCTCGGAGAAAGTTAAGCTCCGTCAGCAGCTTCATCTCTCGCCCCACGTCCAGCTGGCAGTGGCGGAAGGAGGAGCTGGCAGCCGGCCGGAACATCTGGAGGGCCTCTGTGGCTCGGGCGATCCTGGGATGGGGGCACCCAAGGGTCAGGCACTGCCACCTGGGCAGCCACCCTTCTCCTGGATTCTGCCTGCCTGCCCCTGGGCCCTGGCGTCTGTCTGCTTTGGGTCTCTTCCTCGCCCCCTCACGCACGCTGGGTACTGGTTTGGCCGAGCGGTGAGAACCCTCAGGGCCCAGCTCCCCCTCGGACGGCACTTGAGACTCTGTCTTGGACACTGTCCACCCCTGGGATGCCCCTCTCACCCCCCCGCCCCAGGGGAGCCCGTGCCCCTGAGCTGTGCCCTGAGGTACCTGTTATGTAACTGCTTGGCTGCTTGCACAAAGCACGGCTGGTCCGTCTCCTTAAGGACCTCCTGGGCGTAGCCCACCAGCCCCGAGCCGTCGAGAAGGCTGCGGTGCTCCTGCAGCTGGGCGCCGAGGCGGGCCAGCCGCTCCTGCTGGCAGTCCTCAATGGCCTGGAGCAGCACCGCCCTCTTCTCCTCCAGCACAGCCCCCAGCCCCCGCACCAGCTGGGACACCTCCTCCTTGGCCTGCTGACCGCTCACCTGCCCGGAGAGCGACACTTACTATCTCCCTGACGGGGCTGCCTGAGCCAGCCTCCGGGGGCCCTGCACCGAGGCTGGGGTCACAGAGGATCTGGGGAAATGCCACCCGCCTCACCGGGGCCGGGCCTACGGCTCCCGAGGCACCACATCCCCACGTGGCCTCCGCTCCTGACCATTTGTGCTGACCTTTCCGGTGCCCACGCCCCAGGACTCCCCCAAACAAAAGCGACCCCTCCTCGGGCTGTGCTAACACCCAGTGGCGTCTGTGCCGTCTTGTTGCCCACCCCACGCCAGCTGATGCATGCCATCCGGGCGAAGGCATCAGAGCCGTCGCCTTAGCCTAGCTCCAGGGATACGTGCCATCCTCAGCAGGTTTCTGAGCCCGAGGGCATCTGACCTGCTTTCCTGGGACTTTTCAGGCTCTCCCCGTCCTGTCCCCACTATAGTTCCAGCCGCAGCCTGGCCCAGGGCACCAAGCCTCCTGCTGAGCCTGGTTTCATCAGAACCCGGACATGCACGGACCCCACACTTCCTGAGCTCGCCACCAGGAGATGGGGCCCTGCCTCTCCCACCCTCCTGCTGTGTCCACCTCTGTGCCCTCCCTCACCTCAGTGTGCCTCAGGGTCTCCTCCAGCTCACAAATCTGGGTCTGGACCGTGTCCTGGTTTCCTAGGATGTATGTCAGGCTCTTTGACAGTTTGTCCTAAGAGGGAAGAAAGAGGTGGGAATCAGAACCGGCTGGGCAGAAGCTATCAATCAGTAAGAGGAGGTGTGAGGGGATGTGAGTGGGTCAGCTCACCTTGAGGGCCTGGTAGGCGCTGAGCACGGGTGTGATCTTGTGCCCGCTGTGGGTGCGCCTCACTCGGCAGAGCTGGCATACCAGACGTTGGCACGTCTTGCAGTAGTGGGTCACCTCTTCCTTGTGGTCTGGGCACATGAGGCCCTGGGGACAGAAAGGGCAATGGCATAGTCAGCCAACGGTCTGCATAAGGGTGTGCCCTTCCTCCATTGCCAGATGGGTGCGAAGAGGAGCTCAGTGGCGGTGCTCCACAGTGCCACCTGGTGGTACCTGCTAGCATCAAAAAGAGCCTTTCCTGCCCCCTCCAGGCACCAGCATCCTCCTCCCTTCAGCTACCCCAGGAGAGGTGTGGTAATCACCATATAACGATGGCAATCTTGGCCTTGTGGTTACTCATTAACCTTGTCCATCTTGTTCTCTCTCCTATCCCCATGCCCGGAATAGGGCTAGGCATGGAGATGCTTGATACATATTTGTTCAATGACTAAAACCTCTAGTGTTCACAAACACTATCTCACGTGAGCCGCTGAGCAGCCCTGCGGGTGTGGGTATCGCAGGACACGTATCAGCCTCCTTCAGCAGGGAAGAGGAGGGCCCCAAAGAGCTGCCCAGGGCCTTGGTTGTCGTTGTTACAGAAAAGGGAGCCTGGCCATGGCAAACCCCTGTCCACCTCCGTTCGGGCACCCCTACCCATCCAGGTCTACCGCGCCCCTCCCCTCCCGGGCTCCGCGAGGGCTGCTCACCTTGGGGCGGAAGGAGAGGGTGGGCAGGGTGGGCTCGTGCTGGGCCTTCTGGGTGCCCCAGGGGTGGAAGAGCTTGAAGCACTCATTGCAGAAGGTGGCGCGGCACTCGGTGCAGCCCTTGGTGGCCTCCAGCGGCGGCGGCTTGCACAGCTGGCACAGGATGGAGCCGCCCACGCTCACGCTCTGCCGGTACCGCTCCACCACGCGCTCCAGCGTCAGGTTCCGGAACAGGCCCGCCAGGCCCCGCTCCCCCAGCTCCACGTCGCCCTGGCAGGCTGGGCACGGGAACACGATCGCCTGGGGGTGCAGGGCACCTCGCTTCCGCCCGGGGTACGTCCCGAAGCCTGCAGAGGGGCCGGGGAAGGAGGGAGGAGGTCACCCTCACAGCTGGCTGGAGGTGGGGGGGGAGTCTGTTCCGCTAATTAATTTTTTAAAATATATTTTAATGATTTTTTTTTTTTTTTTGCAGAGAGGAAGAGAGAGGGATAGAGAGTTAGAAACATCGATGAGAGAGAATCATGGATCAGCTGCCTCCTGCACACCCCCCACTGGGGATGTGCCCGCAACCAAGGTACATGCCCTTGACCGGAATCGAACCTGGGACCTTTCAATCCGCAGGCTGACGCTCTATCCACTGAGCCAAACCGGTTTTGGCTAAATAATTAATTTCTTATTGTGTCCTAGCTCAGCTGAGCCCCAAGGAGGAACCTTCCCGCCCCCTGGAAGCAGACAGATGCCCCTGAGCAAAGATGGCCCTTCTGTCTTCCTGATGGACATCCCGGCATCCTCCCCCCCCTGCCCCCCCAGGCTGCAGCCCACCTGACTTGAGCAGCCGGTCCAGGCGCTCCGGCTTGGGGAGGGTTCTCCGGGACAGGCGGGGGCTGCGGGTGGAGGGGGTGGAGGCGGGAGACGTGGGCTCGGAGCTGGGGTCCCCGCCGTGGCCTACATAGCCCTGCTGGCCCAGCACCTCGCGGGCACAGGCCTGGCACACATTGTGGGTACAGGGCAGCACCAGGGGCTGCTTGTACATCTCCTGGCACACCGGGCACAGCAGCTCCTTCTCCATGTTCTTCATGCTCGTCTGCAGAGGGACCGGGAGGTTAGGTCAGAGCTTGGGCGCAGGGTATCTTGGCAGGCCCCAAGGGGTCTCAGGCAGGGGCAAGACAAGCTACGTATGGCTTCCTCCGGCCCCACCCCACCCCTGTCCCAGCCCAGGCCTGGCCCGCAGACCTTCCCGGCTCTGCCTCTCGCCTCTATGTCTCTGAGGCAGAGCTGAAGGCCTGCGCAGGAGGAGGGGTGCTCCGGGATCCGACCTCCGCCAGCCTCAAGCTCCCCCCCTCCACTCCCCCTGCCCAGCCAGGTCTGCAGCCCCTGCACCTGGCCATGGCCCCTGCTCCCCGCCCCCACCTCTCTCCTGCCCCCGGCACGTCCCTCAAGGACACCGCACTCACCGCGGCGCGGACCCCCGCCCCCTCTCTGGCGCCCCCACGCCCCCTCCCACGCGTGACTCCTCCCTGTCGGCGGGCACAGCGCCCTCCATCCTCCCAATCACCGCTGCCGTGCTCCCGCTGCGGCTCCGGCCTGCGGCCTCTCCGGCCTCCAAGCACCATCCTGGCTTCCCCGGTCATCTCCTCCGGGCCCCCCGACACCAGCCCTTCTCCCTGGCCCCCCACCCTCCGGACCCCCGCTCCTTCCTCCCCGCAGTGCTCCGGGCTCCCCGCAGACCCGCGCCCCCTCCCCGCGCGCCCCCTCCCCACCGGAAGTGCCCCTCCCTCCCCCGGCGGCGGGGGTCCCCGCCACGCCCCACCCCCTCACCTCACCTTGGTCCCCCTCTTCGCAGCCATCCCGGCCAGGGGCGCCGCTGACACAAAGGCGGGAGGGAGGGACGGGGAGGGAGGGGGGAGGAAGGGATGGTGGGGGGAGCGAGGCTGGCACCGCCCCTGGGAGAGCCGGGCACGAGTTGCCATGACAACCGCGGGAGGCTGGGAGGCTGCCGGGAGCGGGGGTGCGGTGGGGTGGGGTCTCGGGGAGCTGTCCAAATGGGGAACTGCACCCCGGGGTGGCTCCTTCGCCGCCCCTGCTGCTCCCCGTTTTCTTGGGGATTTTCCAAGCTCACCCTCGCCCCGTCCTCACGGTGCAGCCCCCCTGCCCGGCAGCCCCCGCCCCCCCCCGTTGCCCCCTGCAGCTCCCGGTTCGGTTCCTCACACCGCAGAGGGACACCCTCACGGCACCCACCTCTGGGCTGCCCCGGATCACCACCCGCTACCTGCACCCCCACCTGCCAGTTCCCTCTGCCATCGCCAGCTCTCTCCGCCCCCCCACCCCTGCATCCCAGCATCTTCCCGGATCCCCACCTGTTCGAGGTCCCGGCCGGTCCCGAACCCCCGGCCTCCCCCTCCCGCCCCCTCGGCCCCACCTCACTCACACTGATGCGGACCAGCGCATCCATGATGGACGTGAAGGTCTGCATGTCCTCCGCCTCGGCCATGGTCCCACCTGGCCGCCCGCCCGCCCCCGTGCCCGATCCGGCGGCGCTGAGAACCCGGGGCTGATGCAGGAGCCGGTGGGGTGCGGGGAGGGGTGGGGGTAAGCCAGCACTGCGCATGCTCCGGGGCGAGCCTCGCCAGGCGGGGTGGGAGTGGGAAGCAGTTTCCCCACGTGGTTCTCGGGAGGCGGCGGGCCCGCGGAGTGGTGTGAGGAGAGAGCCATTGCTCAGGTTCGCAGCCTCCATGGGCTGCTGATCGTCCTCACATAACGGGGAGGATCGGCTTAGAGAAGCGGGCTCCAGGGTGGCGGGACCGGGTTTTGGTTTGGCCAGGAGCCTGGGGGCGGTGGCGGAAGGTGGCTTGACTTGGGTGGCGGGCACACAGATTTTGTGTGATGGAAATGTGCACCCTCGCCCCGGCCGGGGTGGCACAGCTGGTGCAGCGTCCTCCCACGCACCCCAGGGCCCCTGGTTCCATCCCCGGTCACCCGGTCACCCGGTCAGCGCACACACCCAGGTTGAAGGTTTGATTCTCAGTTGGGTGCGTGCGGCAGGCGACCAATCAATGCTTCTCTCTCTCTCTAGCTCCCTCTCCCTTCCTCTATCTTCCTTTTTTAAAAATCATTGAAAATCTCTTTTTAATGAGAAAAAAAAGAAATGTACACTTGAAACCCATATAATCATATTAACCAATGTGATCCCAATACATTTTTTAAAAAGCGTCTACAGAGATGTTGAGGCGATGCTCATGGAGGAGGGAGGTTGGAGGAACGGGCCTTAGAGGTGACGTAAACGGCAAAGAAGACCGAGGTGGGCAGGTGAGGGGTCGTTTTAAAGAGTTAAGCGCAGCTCGCGTTAGAGGCAGCGGCTGTCCGGGCTGCGGGTGAGGGCGGAGGACTAGGGCGGTGGCCAGATGCTCTTTGACGCAATGCTTCCTCCCTACCGCGAGAGGGCGCCGCGTCAGGCGCCGCGGGGGACCGAGAGGAAGACGTGGGGGAAGCTCGTCGCGCTGGGAGCTGGCGCATGCGCACAGGCAGCAGCGCCCGTTCCTCTCCCGTCTTTCTCGGCCGGAGGCATCTATTGGACCCACCGGGGGGCGTGATGGGTAATTGGGGCGGCGGGGTACCCCGGGCAAGCTAGTTGGGGTCGGGGTTGGGAAGGACCCGCTTTCCTGGTCCGCTCCCCGCAGAGCTGACGTGTCCCGTGTCCCAGGGGGCGGGCCAGGTTGCACGGGTCGGGGGGTGCCGGGCGCTCGGGGCTGAGCTATTTCCGGGGGGCGCGGTGCAGTGAGGGGCGTTGGGGAGCATGGCTGCGAGCCGCGGGCTGCGTGGGCGCGGTCGGGCCCTCGAGCTCCGGGACCTGCCACGTCGGCCTGCGGCTCCCGGAGGCGGGGCCGGGCCGGACTCCGCGTGTCCTCTCTCCGGCGCTGCAGTGGTGGGCACCGGCACGTCGCTGGCGCTGTCCTCCCTCCTGTCTCTGCTGCTCTTCGCTGGGATGCAGATGTACAGCCGCCAGCTGGCCTCCACCGAGTGGCTCACCATCCAGGGGGGCCTGCTGGGCTCCGGCCTTTTCGTCTTCTCCCTCACTGTATCCTCCTGCGGTGGAGGGGGGTGGGGGGTGGGGGGAGAAGGGGAGGGCTGTGGGGTTGGAGGGGAGGAAGGGTGGCGGGCCACGCAGGCTGGTGCCACCCCCATTTCTCACCCGCCTCTGCCCTGCTCCTTAATTCCCTCAACCCAGGCCTTTAATAATCTGGAGAATCTTGTCTTTGGCAAAGGATTCCAAGCAAAGATCTTCCCTGAGAGTAAGTGCAAATTGGGGCTTGAGAATTTGAACTCTCTCTTCAACCTCCTCTCCCCACCCCCCCTCCGCCCCTTACACACACACCTGCATATCTGAATTTCCAAGGTGCTTAGAAGGTAATGGTTGTTGCGGAGAAGGAAGTAGGTGAGTAAGGCTGTGTGGAGACAGATCACACCTTTGGATCCAGCACCTTAGCTAGCTCCTGAGATTGGAGATGGAAAAGAAGGCCTCCGAAAGGGAGAACCTCGGTTGCCTTATGGCTAGTTCCCAGGGAATGTCTGAGGGGAACAGGCAAGTTTGCACCCGTTTTGCATCCATCCATGGGGGGGAGGGAAGAGGCGTTCCTTGTTCCCGCCAGAAGCAGCAGCGGGAAGAACCACGTTCATTGAGCCGATCTGACGTGAAATGGACCCAATGTCAGTGAATTCCATTTGAGATGATGGTGAAGAGCCTAAGTATTAGACACACCAAGTTTCTATGTGAGCTGGAATCCTGACCCAATTAGAATAACTTTTAGATGGTTCCCTGTTTGAAATGACCCTTGTTTTACTGCTCGTGAAATTGGGATTTGATGTGATTTAGTTATTCATGGAGTATTAAGTTCATAAAGCAAATTAGGTGTCAAGGCCAGATCACACCAAGAATGCCGCATGCTGGGAAATTGGCGACAGGGACCTAGTCCCTTCCTGTGGCAGCACAGAGGCTGTGGGGTTGGAGGGGAGGAAGGGTGGCGGGCCCTCTCACCACCCCTCCCTGATGCCTTTGCCTGGGCCGGCTGCCTGCTGCTTGTCCTCTGGCTGTGTTGGTCCTCAGTGGTCCCGGTGGACCAGGTGACGGAGAAATATGGCTACTCACACCTTTCCGCAGGAGAACTTCTTGATGAAAGGAAAACCCCAGACTCATAGTTTGGTGAACTCTTCGAAAAGTACATTAAAGATGAAAAGATTGTGCCAGTTCTTTTTAAAAGAACTCCAAGCTGCCTGGCCAGTGTGGCTCCACATGGAGGTTCGATTCCCCATCAGGGCACATGCCCAGGCTGCCGGCTTGATCCCCAAAGAGGGTGTGCAGGAAGCAGCTGATCAGTGTTTCTCATCAGTGATGTTTCTATCTCTCCCTCTCCCTTCCTCTCTGAAATGAATTTTAAAGATAAAGGAACTCCAACTTTAAAAATATATATGTTTTTATTGATTTCAGAGAGAGGAAGGGAGAGAGAGAAGAAATAACGATGAGAATTATCCATGGGCTGCCCCCTGCGAGCCCCCCACTGTGCTGGAACCGTGACCTCCTGGTTCATGGAAGGATGCTCAACCACGGAGTCACACCTCGCCGGGGTAGCCATCAGTGTTTTAGCGAGGGAAGTGGACCAGATAATGCCTGCCAGTGCTCAGGAGAATAAATCCTTGGTTGATGGGTTTCCAAGAAATCAGGACAGCCTTCAAAGTTGGAACCAGACCATAGATGGGAAGACAGATTAATTTTACTTAAAATTTATTTGTTGATTTTAGAGAGACGGAAGGAGAGAGAGAAACATTGATTTGTTGTCTCACTAACTTATGCATTCACTGGTTGATTCCGGTATGTGCCCTGACCGTGACCAGACCTTGGCAAATCTGGAGGACACTCTTATCAACCGATAAGCAGATTTATTTAAGGAGATTTAAAAACCGCTATACTGTGGTCAGAAAAGTAATATATCTTACTAGAGGCCTGTTGCACAAAATTTGTGCAAGGTGGGGGGTGTCTCTTAGCTCAGCCTGCACCCTCTCCAATCTGGGACCCCTCTGTTTAAACTGGCAATTGGACATCCCTCTCACAATCCAGGACTGCTGGCTCCCAACTGTTCACCTGCCTGCCTTCCTGATTGCACCTAACTGCTTCTGCCTGCCAGCCTGATCACCCCCTAATCACTCCCATGCCAGCCTGATTGATGTCTTAACTGCTCCCTGTCGGCTTGTTTGCCCCCAGCTTCCCTCCTCTGCCGGCCTGGTCACCCCTAACTGCCCTCCCCTGCAGAGTTGATCACCTCCAACTGCCCTTCCTTGCAGGCCTGTTCCTTCTTAACTGCCCTTCTTTGCAGGCCTGGTGCCTCCCAGCTGCCCTCCCCTGCTGGCCATCTTGTAATGGCCATCTTGGGTCCACATGGGGGCAGATCTTTGACCACATGGGGGCAGCGATTGTGTGTTGGAGTGATGGTCAACCTGCATATGACTCTTTTATTAGCTAGGATAAGTGTTTTTGAAAAATTGGCAGCAAATGCTGTCCTGTGTGAACCCTCCTCCAGGTCTTGCTCCATCGAGCCCGGTTGCAAGCGAGAGCTCCTTCCAGCCAGCAGCCCCGGACTTCTCCCTGGGCTTTGTTTCCGTGTGAATTGTCTTCATTTACTTGAAAGAAACCTTGTGGGGCAGGGTTCTTGTCCCTCTGCCTGCCCTGCTCTTCCCACCAGGCAGGTGGGGTTTGCCCTTGCTTTCCGCCTCCCCACCCCCCCTTTCTCTCCAGTCCCCTGGAAAGCCTCAGACCGCCCCCCCCCCTGCCCTCACGGTGTGTGTCCAAACTCTGCCCTCCATCCCGTGTCCAGGGAGTGAGGCCCTCGGCGTCCGCCACTGGCCGGTTTAACGAGTTGATCCCCATTGGCTGGCTTCTGTGGAAAGGCCTTGACCCAATTCCCAAAGAGGGAGCTCGCCTTGCCCTTCAGACTGTTATCACGGCTGCTTTTGCCTGGCAGGGAGCCAGGAGAGGGACGTTGGGGGATAGCTGGGGCTGAGCAGGGGCTGAGCATGCGTCTGCCTCCGTGTCCTGGGCGTCAGGAGGCCACCTGCATGTTCCTGCTGTGGTCACGCCACATCCCTCCTCGCAGGCTCCCCAGATTCGGAAGGCCCCAGACTTCCCCGAGTCCAGTGGTCTGCCAACTCATTAGTCAACAGAGTCAAGTATCAACAAGACAACGATCGAAATTCCTTTTGAGAGTCAGATTTTTCAAACTTAAACTTCTAACGCCAATTTTTCAAAATAGACTTTCCCAAGCCGTGGTATTTTGTGGAAGAGCCACACTCCAGGGGCCAAAGAGCCGCATGTGGCTCGCGAGCCGCAGTTTGCCGACCACGGCCCTAGACGTATGAATGCTGATCTTTCCGTTCTGACCTCTACCCCCGTGTGCTCTCCCTCCCCAGTTCTCTTCTGCCTCCTGTTGGCTCTTTTTGCATCTGGCCTCATCCATCGCGTCTGTGTCACCACCTGGTGAGTGTCTGACCGCTGGGCCTGGACCCTCCTCTGATGGTTCCATCCTCCCCCATTCCCTCTCCTCCTCTCTCCTCCCTTCCCCCCCTTCCCCACTTTCTTAAACCTGAGCCGGGGTTGTTCTCCGGATGCTGGTGTCTGTCCCGGGAGGCCCAGGCCGGCAGCAGGCCCAGTGATGCCGGGCCTCTGTCTCCGCCCTCAGCTTCATCTTCTCCATGGTGGGTCTGTACTACATCAACAAGATCTCCTCCACCCTGTACCAGGCAACAACGCCCGTGCTCACGCCGGCCAAGGTCACGGGCAAGAGCAAAAAGAGAAACTGACCCTGAACCCCAATAAAGTTGGTTGTTTGTAGCTCTGTGAGTGTGGTACACTGCGGCCCCCTCTTGCCAATGCTGCGTGGGTGTACGGAACGGTAGGACACGTGGGTACCTGCTGCCTCAGGCCTTAAGGATGGTGAGGCTTTTCTCCCACGAAGGTGTGTTTTCCAGAACCTGCAGAGTGCCAGCAGTGGCCCGGTGCCAGCACAGGCCCTGGAGTGGATGTGCTGGGCCTCATCGTGGAGGGAAATGCACCAGGGATCTGCAGGCCTGACCTCTGAGAGGAGGGGTAAAGGCTGCAGTGCAGGGAGGCCTGTCAGAACTGGAGTAGCCTGGCCGGTCTGGCTCAGTGGGTAGAGCATAGGCTCGCCAACTGAAGGGTCGTGGGTTCGATTCTGGTCAAGGGCACGTACCTTGGTTGCAGGTTCCCCGGCCCTGGTGGGGTGTGTGCAGGAGGCAGCCCATCAATGTGTCTCTCACATGGATCTTTCTCTCCCTCTTCCTTCCACTCTCTAGAAATCAATGGGAAAATATCCTCGGGTGAGGATTAACAAAAAAAACAACCTTGGTTCTGGTGCCTTCCTTTTTCTCCTGTTTAGTAGTCAGGAGATTAGGAGCCTCCTAACTTTCAGCGGAGGGTGTGGAGCGATAGGGGCCAGGCCGCCCCGTCCACCGTGGAGCCGCGGTGACAATAGAAACGAAGGTTCTGGGCTCCACGCCGTCCGCGCTGCCGTGAGGACCGCCTCGTCCGGAGGCCTGTCTACGGGCGGGGGCCCACCCCTCCGGGCGGTGCGAGCTTTGGGTGCACGCAGTGCCTTGGTCACATTGTGTTCTCTGCGGTGCCTGATAACGGGCAATAAGGACAGGCGCGTTGGTGAAAGAACCTGCCCTTCTGGAGCATGAAACCCTGAGCGTGGCACGTGCATGACGGAGGGAGACCCAGTGAAGACGGAGGAGTGAGTCTGAATTGGTCAGGAGCAGAGCCACCCCCACCCCCAACCTCCCCTTCTCCAGTTAGAGGCCCACCCAACCCCCCTACTCCCATCTGTGGCTGGAATCCCAAACCCTTGTTCCAGGCCCTCGGCTGACGGAATGCCATGCAGTTTACCCAGAACGCCTGCAGAGGGCGCCATGAGCTCACGTCTCCTGGAGTCTAGCCACAATGCCCCTTGCCAGCCCGCCCTGAGGGCTGGGAGGGTTGCTGCCTGGCTTCCCGTGGAGGCCCCGCAAAGGCTAGCTCTCTCAGGAGGGCTGAAGGCTGGATGAGTCCTTGCTCCGGAGGCTGGAAGCCACGGCAGAGACTTCAGTGGGGATGAGAGCTCCCTGAGGGAATGGCGGCTAGGCTGCAGCTCACCTGGTGGTGGCTGGGGTTGCAGTGTGGGCCCTGCGCCTACAAGGAGGCTGGATTGCACTGGGTCCCACTCTGTCAAACGCTGACTTTGTCCTGCCCTGGGGGGGGGGCAGGGGGCACAGACAGCTGGGAGTGTCCGGCCGCCTGAGGGCATCTTGCCTCCCAAGATGAGAGCTGGGGAGGGGCCAGGCTGGGGGCGGGCCTGGAGAGCAGGTGCCAGGGCACCCACGGCCTAGGCCCCGGGGAAGCAGGTGGCCCAGAAATAACACCCCTTCCCCGGGGAACGCATTTACAAGGCAGTTGGCGCCAACCTCGGCCGCCACCCGGCTATCTCCGGTGTCCTAGTTGCAGGCTGCCTGCACCTGACCTGCCAATTAACCCAGCAAAGGTATCTAGCCACCATCACCATCATTACCTACGGGGGCGGGCGGGAGGCCGGGAGGCCGCGGGCTCTGGAGACCTGCAGGTGAAAAGGGCAGAGGTGCTAACCTTTGGCCCCTGTACTCCCGGGGCTCTGCTCCGCCCCCCCCCCCCCAGGCTGCAGGCCTGAGGGAGAGGGCGGTGGTCCCGCCCCTGGAGGGCAGAGGGAAGCCAGATGTTTCCTCCCGCTCCTGCTCCCTCACATGAGGCCCCGACACCCGGGCCTGCTCCCGGAAACAGGAGTAAATAATACAGGGGGAGGGGTGTGAAGGGGAGACCGACTGGCCCAATAGGACCCTCCTGGTGACCGACTGGAGGCGATACCACCACCAAGAAGGCATGTGAATGCCAGGGAGGGCAAGAAGGCTCCCACACCCCGAGGCGGCTCCCCTTGGACTGGCGCTGGCGTGAGGGAGCCCCTGGCATGCAGGGCACGCCACAGGGTCGGGCAGAGCAGTGGCGCTAAGACTCAGGCCAGCCCTTTCCGGCCCTCATTGTCCTTGGTGAGAACAGGACGCAGCCTCGTTCCCACTGCCCTCCTCCCGCCGGTCCCAGCTCTGCTCCCAGGAGACTGGGAAGGATGTCGGGAAACAGGCGAGCCAGAGACTGTTAGCAACAGAGATGCTGAGAGACGCAGAGACAGATACAAAGGGGAAAGGTTCCGGCAGAAGCGAGCCCTGAATTCACTGTGAGCCCAGCAGGCCTGGGCACTGTGGGAACCTGGCGGCCCTGCCCCTGGGGATCCAGGCTGGCCGGCCCGAGCTCCATCCTTGACGTAGGATCACCCACAGGCTGCCTCCTGAACGAACAAGCCTTGCCTCCCATTACGCAGGAGGCTGGTGGCTCTTTGATTGCTCCACTTCAGATACGTTTCTTTGCCCCCCTCCTGGCAGAATGGAAGTTCCTCAGGGGGCAGCGCCAAGGTCCCAGGTCCCAGCGGCCGCTGACCGCACACGGCAGGCTGCCAGCAGAGGCTGCCTGTACTGCTGTCCGCTGAGCCCCTGCAGAGGCCGGGAGGGCCCCTTGGCCCTGGAATCAGGCCCCATCGCCTGCCCTGTGGCCCAGGAAGAGTCCCCTGGGCGGGGTGGGGGGATGTGAGCGAAGGGGGAGGCTGGCACCCTTCCTTCTAACTCTCCTACCTGGGCCCACAGTTCTCAGCAACTGCTCCCTGCTACAGGCCCCCACAGATCCAGAGAGCTCCCCTCAACAACTGAGGCTCCAGATACACTTCATTAAAAAAAATTTTTTTTTTTAATTATCTGTGTACATATTTTAACATTGCCCCCCCCCCATACATACCCTCCCTCCCCAGAGTTTTGTGTCCATTGATTGTACTTATATGCGTGTATACAAGTCCTTCGGTTGATCTCTTATCTCCCCCAGCATTTTTAAATTTTTTATTGATTGATTTTTAGAGCAAGAGAGAGAAACATCAATTCATTGTTCCCCTTACTTATACATTCATTGGTTGTTTCTTGTATGTGGTCTGACCGGGGATTGAACCTGCAGCCTCTTGGCGCATGGGACAATGCTCAACCAACTGAGCCACACCAGCCAGGGCGACAAATGTTATTGTTCTCTGTGTGATGACAACAGCGACACCTTTAACTGAACATTTACCACTTGTCAGTCTGTGTACTCAGTGCTTTACTGATATTCTCAGCTCCAACGCTCACATCAATCTTACTGCTCTTCATATTCCATGTGATGGCTGATTTTATGTCTCAACTTGACTGGGCCATGGTGCCTAGATATTTGGTCAAATGTTATTCTGGCTGTTTCTGTGAGGACATTTTATTTTATTTTATTATTTTTTTAATATATTTTATTGATTTTTTACAGAGAGGAAGGGAGAGAGATAGAGAGCCAGAAACATCGATGAGAGAGAAACATCGACCAGCCGCCTCCTGCACCTCCCCCACCGGGGATGTGCCCACAACCAATGTACATGCCCCTGACCAGAATCGAACCCGGGACCCCTCAGTCCACAGACTGACGCTCTACCACTGAGCCAAACCGGCTTCGGCTTATTTTTAAATATATATATTTTATTGATTTTTTTTACAGAGAGGAAGGGAGAGGGACAGAGAGTTAGAAACATCAATGAAAGAGAAACATCGATCAGCTGCCTCCTGCACACCCCCCACAGGGGATGTGCCCGCAACCGAGGTACACACCCTTGACCGGAATCGAACCTGGGACCCTTAAGTCCGCAGGCTGACGCTCTATCCACTGAGCCAAACCGGTTTTGGCCTGAGGATGTTTTTTAGTGAACAAAACAAATGGCCCTCCACCACAGACTGGGCCTTATTGAGCCCATGAAAGGCCTACAGTGAACAAAAGCCTGATCCCCCAGAGCGAGAGGAAATCCAGCAGCAGGAAGCCTTTGGACACTTCTCCCTCCTTCCCTTCATTCAGATTTTCTTGCAAATGGCTCCTTCTCAGTGGGGCCTTTGGGACTGTGCTATATAAAATACCATACTCTGTCATCCTATTAAATCCTTTGCCTGGTATCTTTTTCTTCATATTACTTCCCATTTCTTTTTATATTAACTATTTACTTGATTGTTTCTTTTTCTTTTAAAAAATATATATTTTATTGATTTCACAGAGGGAGAGAGAGAGAGTGAGAAATATCAATGATGAGAGAATCATGGATCGGCTGCCTCCTGGGGAGCAAGCACGCACGCCAGGCCTGTGCTCTGATCGGAAGTCAAACTGTGACCTGGTTCATGGGTTGAAACTCAATAACTGAGTCACGCTGGCCTGCGAGCTGGGCCGTTTGATTGTTTCTTCCCTGTCTCCACTTCAAGGAAAGCAGGAATTTGTCTGCTTCGTTCACTAGGACGCTGCTTGATGTCTGGTAGGTGCTCGATACATATTTGGTGAAAGAAGCAACAAGAACCCCGTTAGCAACACACCCCTGTCCCACTCTGAGCTCTTTGCTGAAACTCCTCTTCCATCCTGCCTCGAACCCAAATTGCTGACTCACCAGAATCATCCAGCGTTCCTCTCGCTGCTGGCTGTTCCTCCCTCTTCCCTCGGGCCCCCTTCTTGTCCCGGAGGCCTCTGGCTCACCTTGCCCGGGACCCTGACTCACCCAGCCGCTTCTCCGATCAGCTGCAGGACCTCCGACCTCCGCTTCCTCCTAATGCCGGAGTGATTCTGTGCACGCTCTTGTTGATCACGTGTGTGTTCTTCCCGTCTCCCCAGGGGAACTGTGGGTGCCCTCAGGTCAGGGATGGAGTAACACAATCTGACTCCTGGGAATTTGCCAGGAACCAGTAATCACCGTGGCACCTGTGGGCACACAGAAAGCTCTACGTGACATACGGCACTGGCATACAGGCACATGTGGGGTCACCCTCTCCTCTAAGGTGTGAGTTGCTGACCTGAGGGACCAACCTGCCCCCCAACACAATGCTTTCAAAATAAAAAAGTTTTATTGATTTCAGAAAGGAATGGACAGGGAGAGAGAGAAACATCAACAATGAGAATCACTGGTAGGCTGCCTCCTGCACGCCCCGCACTGGGGATTGAGCCCATAACCCAGCCATGTGCCCTGACCGGGAATTGAACTGTGACCTCTGGGTTCATAGGTCGATGCTCAACCACTGAGCCACACCGGTTGGGCCCACACAGATAGTTTTAAGGGGTCTTCCATAGCCTGGCCAGCTTCCCAGCCTCTCCTGCCGCTCCCCCAGGAAGCTGCCTTTGTCCCAGGAAAAGCCACAGAGGATCGTTCGCGTGGATTCCCAGCCCCGCACCTTTGTTCGGACTTCCTCGTGGTGTCACAAGCCTCTGCCCCACCTGAACAATCTTACTCATCTTCCCATGCAACGCTGGCGTCAGGACCGCTGTGCAGCCTTCCCTCCGGGCAGCCCGTCCTCCGCTTCCTGTGCCATTGTGCACGTTCCCACCTTCCGTGCACTTTAGCACGAAGGCTCCCAGGTTGGGAAGTGGCCGCCCTCTGAAACCAAAGCTTGCAAGAACAGAAAAGGCCAACAAACAGCTTATCCGGCTGCAGAAGTAACTTAGCTTAGAAGATGGTTTGGGAATGATGGGAGGGAGGTTCTCCTTTCATCTTAGAGCAACCCCATGAGGGAGGATCAGTGAATGATTCCATTGTACAGCTGAGAAAACTGAGGCTTAGGGACATTAGGTTACTTGCCCAAGATCACAGCTAAGGAAAGGAAAGAGCCCGGACCCAGGCTCCGTACAGCTGGGCTCTAAAAGCCCCCAATTTTAACCCCCAAGCGGTACCACCTCTCCTACTGGAACTACCACATGTCTGTGGGTGCTGTGGCAGCGGGAGGTGACAGCAGCAGGAAGCCCGGCAGGGAGCTGGGCCATCAGCACCTGCTGGCTTTGTGCAGTGCCATCTGCGTGGCTGGCAGATTGTGGTTTCTGGAGTAGACACATTTCCTGGACCAGGAAAGCTGGGCCAGTTTCCCTGGAGACCATCAAATGCTAACCTGTCCTTCCCTCTGTCCCTCGTCTTACATTATAGCAGGCTTGCTGGGTTTCCCACACTGTGCTTGTTCCTGGAGATACATGGTCTTGGGTAGACCAAGCAGGGAAGCAAAATACCTACAGCTTGCCCGGCTGACCTGGCTCAGTGGTTGAGCGTTGACCTATGAACCAAGAGATCACAGTTTGATTCCCAGTCAGGGCACGTGCCTGGGTTGTGGGCTTGATCCCTAGTGTGGGGCATGCAATCATGGGCAGCTGATCCATGATTCTCTCTCTGTCTATCCCTCTCCTTTCCTCTCGGAAATCAATAAAAATATATATTTAAACACACACACACACAGACACATACACACTATAGCTCAACATCTGTAAATCTATAAGAGAGGTAATGGGTGCTCAGAGGAGAATGATGGTGACCAAGACAGATGCTGGAGCTAAACATTGGAGAAATATGTCTCCACATTTTCTTGTGGCAGATACAGGGTTTCACTTTTCATATTGATTTTTTTTAATGCCCTGGGAATTAATTTTGGTATAAGGTGTGAGGTTGAATTCTAACTTAATTTCCTTTTTCAAATGGTAAGCTAGTTGCAAATGGTTTTTAAGCAATTCCTCTTTCCTCATTTACACTCGATGCCATGTCTATCATCTGATAAACTGGTGTATGTTTGATCTATTTTTTTTCACTTTTTACTCTGTTCCATTGATCTTGAGAGGGAGGGACAATATTGTGGTGGCAAACTTTGCAGGCTCTGATGTCAGATTGTTTGGGGCGCGCCTCAGTTCTACTTGAGAATGTAGACGATACAAACATCTACTTCATGCCATGGCTGTGGAGATGGGAGGAGATAATGCACACAAAGCACTCATTACAGAGCCTGGCACAGAGCGATCCATCAGTGAACATCAGCCGCTGCTGTGATCCTATCTGCCTGTTCCCCAGCGAACCCAGGAGGCGAAATTACTAAGCGCATAGCTTTGAGCTGATGGAACACTCGCTGCTGACTGTGTGCGTGACCTCAGGCAGTTACTTACCCTGCACTGTCTCTCCGTTCTGCTTCCTCGCTCCGAATGGGGATATGAAAGCATCGATGGCAGCAGGTTGTGAACATGAAGCATGAGCCTTCGACGAATGCTTTTTTTCCTGCTGATTATTATTACAGTTATAATTTATGATCTGTCTTTAGGTGTGGTAGCCCCTTCTCATTGTGTTTTTCCCCCCAATTTTTATGGGGAGTGGCACACATTCTCCACCGGGTCTACTGGGGTGAACAAAATAGAATTTCTGGGTCTGCAACGTTGATGCCTAGCCCTTGGCCTGCGCTGAAAGCAGGCCTTGTATCCATTCTCTTTCCTTCCTTTTATAGCTCTTATTTCCCCTAAAGTTGATATCTGCCTGACCTTTTACTTGGGTTTCAGTATACCTATTAGGGATTCATCCCCCATCCTCTCTGAAAGATGTATACCCCTGCTCTCATAATTCCTCCGTCCCACACTTTTTTCCCTTTAAGACACCTTCCTGGACGCTTCTCCCCCTGGCTCCAAGCTATACTGGTTCCTCCCCTGCGTTTCTTTTTAAAAAATAGGACAACCTTGCCCTGGCCTGGTAGCTCAGTTGGTTAGAGCATGATCCCCATGTGCTCAGGTTGTGGGTTCATCTCTGGTCTGGGCACACACAGGAAGCAACCACTGAATGCATAAATATCTGGAATGAAAAATCTCTCTCTCTCTCTCTCTCTCTCTCTCTCTCTCTCAAAAAAAAAAAAAAAAAAAAAAAAAAAGACAACCTGTGTTCTAACACCTATCTCAAAGCATCATGATTACTTGTCAATGCATCCATTTTCCCTGACTCTCCTTGCCCACCCCTTTCACCCCAGGAGGCGGGGCCATATGTCTTGATTTCTCTATTTCTCCAAAGTTTATCATAGCGCTCAAGAAGCTTTCGAATGAATGAAAGAATAAATGAATGAACGAATGGGATTTGTATGTATAGGTGAAGTTTAAGAATGATATTGCAAGGTTTAAGGGTGGCCTCGGGCTTTTTTCCCCTTTCTTTTTTCCTTTTTATTGAATGTATTGGGGTGGCACTGGTTAATAAAATTATACAGATTTCAGGCGTACAATGGCCTCAGGCTTTCTGCAAGGCCCACGCCAGCTTGCAGCGGGGCCCTGAGGGAGAGAAGCAGCATCGAAGCCCTGGGGACCCAAGTCACAGTTTCGGGAGCAGCCAGCTCTTTAACTCAGGAGGGAAAGACATTGGCCAAAAGCCTTCCAGGCGCCGCCTCGAGGACTACAACTCCCAGAAGGCAGCGCAACGGCGGAGCGCGAGCGCGGGGTGGGTTCCGTACGCTGACGTCAGACCCGCGTGGAACCGGGAAGAGCCGGCCGAGAGGTACGAGTGGGGTGCGGGCAGAATGGAGAGGGCGAGGGGGGTGAGAGCCTGGGCGGAGCGGCCCTCGGGGAGCTGAGGCGGCGGGGCCTGCAGGGGGAGAAGCCCAGGGGGGACGCCGACGAAGCGGGGGTCGCGAGGTGGAGAGATGCCGAGCTCCGCTTGCTCTTCCTGCAGCCACCATGACGAAGTTAGCACAGTGGCTCTGGGCACTGGCGCTCCTGGGCTCCGCCTGGGCGGCCCTGACCTTGGGGGCCCTGGATCTGCCTCCTTCCTGCCGGGAGGTCCTGTGGCCACTGCCCGCCTACGTGCTGGTGTCCGCCGGCTGCTTTGCCCTGGCCACGGTGGGCTACCGCGTGGCCACTTTCCACGACTGCGAGGACGCCGCCCGCGAGCTGCAGAGCCAGATCCAGGAGGCCAGAGCCGACTTATCGCGCAGGGGGATGCGCTTCTGACTCTCCTTTGACAACCCGACAGCCCCTCCCGCCCACCCCCCATTAAAGAGCAAGTTTACTTTCTGTTCAGAATGGAGAATGGGAATGGGGGGTTATGTGTGTACCAAGTGGGAGGCAGACAAGCCACCTTAAGTGAGGTCATCCAAGCTTTTACCTTTGCATTCTGCTGGTGTTCCTCCTTTTTGCTCCAAAGGTGGCAAAGACCCCTTCTCAAGATCTCGCAGGATGGAAGTGTTTTACTTTTCTGGTCCTTTTCACCCTGTCAGGAAGTACTTCTTGAAGTCTAACTTACATTTCTTCTTCATCACATCCAAGCTCTGTCCTTGTTAAGGCCTTCCTAGGTCTTTTCTAGATTGCTCTGGTTCTTTTATTTATTACTAGAGGCCCATTGCAATATTCGTCCAAGAATAGTCTGTCCTTCCTCTGGCTTCACTCCCAGTCCACTGGGAGCCCACAAGTCCTGGCTCCTGTAGTTCCCTCCGCTGCCCCTCCCCCCACCCCCCTCATAGCAGGCACCCCACTCCTCCCAGCTGCTCCACACCTACGTATGCAAATTAACCTCCATCTTTGTTGGGTTAATTTGCATAACCACTCCTGATTGGCTGTGGGCATAGTGAATGTATAGCCAATTTACATGTTTGCTTATTATTAGGTAAGATTATTATTTTCCCTCACACATGCTCTGGTTCTTTTAGATACCTTTTCTGAGCTAAGCCTACCAGCCCAAGAATAATTCGGACAGCTCACACCTCTCCCCTTCACCAAACCCGGCAGGTTGAGAATCGCTGCATAGAGAATGAGCCTTGATGGACAGGGATAGGGAACAGTTTATTTTAAGGCACACTCTAAAGATTTCACCGCAACCCCCAAATTAAAAAATATAATCTCTAAAAAATAAGTGCTTCTTCTCCCAATCCCACCCACTCTCCTAAGTAAAGCTCTTTCTTTGGTCCCGGATTCTCAGAGTTGTCTCTTTTTCCCATGAGCCCTGGCCCGTGTGCCGTGGTGGGCAGGAACAGTTGGAGCAGGTTGGCTTGAACCTCTTTGGTAATAGGTTGGCGTGGAGGCGTCCTGTGGCCAGTGAGCCGCCTCAGGTTTGTAGGAGTTGGTAGTTCCTGTCTTGCTCCTGAGGGTACTTCCAGAAAAGCCAGAGGCGAATGAGGCTGGTGAGGATTCCCGGGATGTTGGGCACCTGAAATCACAAGGGCTGCGTGAGGAGGGGAGCTGGTTTCCCGCCGTGCACACCTGCCGCCCCTCCCTGCGCGGCTCACCATGATGTAGGGGTCTCTGAGTCGGAACCCGTAGAGCGTCCAGGAGGCGGAGGTGAGGAGGGTGGTGATGGTCAGTGAGAAGGAGAGGCGTTGGGTGGATTTGGTCTGGATCACTCTGGCCTGCGGGGAAGGAGGAAAGACACTCCTTGTCCAGATGCACAGAAAGGCTCGCACCTTGCTCAATAATTTCCTCAGAAAACAGGGTAACTATCCTCCCCGGCCTTCTGCTGCCCACCCCTCCCCTCCCGCCTCCCCCTCTCCCACCCCCACCTCCATGGCCCTGGCTCCTTCCTTTCCTTTAGAGCAATGTTTCCCAAAGTGTGGTTACGAAAATTATAGAAGGGGCACACATATGTCAAAAGTTTGGGAAACACTGGAGTAGAGAGTAAGCTCCAGGCTCTGACTAGGAGAGCCTGGCTCTTCTTATCTCCCCAGCTTCAGGGACACCCCCACGCCCACTCACCAAGTCAGCCAGGGGTGAGAGGTACATGCTGATGGTGAAGACACTGCAGAAGAGGCCCAGCTGCTGAAGCCTGGCCTCCACGTTGGGCACCAGGACCCAAAAGTAGCCAAAACCCATGAGAAGGACCCCCAGCAGGGCTGCAGTCTGCAGGAGCTCGGTACCCTGCAGGGGAGGGAACAGCCTGGCTGACACCCCACCGGAGTTAATTCTCCCTGCCTCTCCCCTGCCCCCGTGGGGGAGCCTTTGTCCGGGCCTCCGGCATTGCACTTGTCACAGCCTTCTTCCCACCAGTGACCCCAGCCGCCCGCAGCACTGGGGACTGCTAGGGGAGAGAAAGATCTTTTTTTGTGAGTTTATATGCACAGGAGGAGCTTAATGAATGCTTGTGTGCCTGACTGGGGAAACAGCTAATCATCATCTTCTCTTCTCAACCTCTGGCCCTGGTTCCAAAGGAACGAGGGGAGACAAGCCCTTTCCCTGTTTGTTGAGCAGCAGACACCATCGGGGCAGGCAGAGCGACCAGCCTTGCCTGAGTGAGGGGCGATGTGTGGGTCTGGGAAGGCTGGCCCCATGGAGAAAGGAGGCCTGCAATGCTGGAGGGGCCTTCTAGGAAAAGGCGGCAGTGCCAGCCTGTGCAGTCTTCCAGGAAGTACGGTCTGTCCTGCCAGCGAGGCAGGCAGCAGCAGGTGGGTGCAGGGAGGGCCCTACCTTCCGGGGGCAGTAGTGCAGGTACACCACGATGTACAGGGTCTGGAGCACGGCGCCCACTGCGTTGACGACGATTAGGGTCCCATCTCCCTTCAGGGTCCCATAGCTCAGCCAGCTCAGGTTGCTGCAGGATGGCGGGGAGGGACATTCGGCTCTTCAGGGTCCCCACCCCATCCCACCCCCCTCAGACAGTCTCTCCCGCCGCAGCCGGCACCCCTCACCCCTCTCACTTGACATCCGTGGTGAGAAAAGGCAGGAACTGGACACTGTCCACTCTCCGGGTCATCCACATGTGCCTGAGGTCCGAGCTGGAACAGCGCCCCGAAGGCAGGGGTGAGAGGGGAAGGGGGGGTCCCCAGAGCCTGCCATCCTCCCCTGCCCCGCCCTCAGCTCCCTGGCCTCGGGGTCAGAGGCCCTGCCTCGCCCCGGTCCCCCGGTCCCCTTTCCGCTTGGACCCCGGGTTCCGGGCGCAGCGGGGCTGCAGCCGCGTCTCCCCGGCGCTCCTCCCGCTCCCGGCCTGCCCTCCCGCCGGCCGCGCTCACAGGCCGGTGGAGAACATGCCGAGGGTGAAGGCCACGCACAGCGCGGACAGCAGCGCGTCCGCCGCGCCCGCCTCCATCCCGCGGGACCGCTCCTCCGCTCCGGTGCGCGGTGCGCGCGCAGGGAGGCCTCGGCGCCGCGCTGGACGTGGCCCCGCCCCTTCCCGGCCCCGGAAACGGAGCCGGAACCCGCTGCGGACGGAGGCGGGAGCTCAGGCCCCGCCCCTGGCCGGTCGCCGGGTCCTGACGTCGCCTTCCCTCCCCGGTCTCGGTCGGCCCGCGTCCCCGGCCCCCGGCGCTGCCCACCCTGCGCGCACCCCTGAGCCGCCCGGGCCCGGGCCTCGGCGCTCCCGCGGGCCCAAAGCTGGCTGCACCCAACCGGGCCAGCGCGCCTCCCACCCAGAGCTCCAGATCGGAACCTCCGCGGTCCAGGGTTCGAGCGGCTTCCCGTTCGCTGGAGCCCTCCCCGTCTCTGCCCTGAGCCACAGGGGTTGCCAGGAACCACTGGTTCTGACAGGTGCCCTCTCCCGTCGGCCACACCACCCACCTGGCCGATCCCCTAAAACCCATACGCCGACCCCCCTGGTCCAGCCCTGACTGCTGCAGGGAGCGCTCCCTCCCGGGTTCCCACACGTCCCGTCCCGGGCGGGGCGCCCTGACTCACTCCGCTGCATGAGCACCTGCGTGGCTGCCCCAGCCCAAAGCCCCAGCGCCGTGGGGCTGGGCAGAGGTTAGACAGGAAGAACTCCCAGCGAGGCTGTGTGGGAACGCTCCCGTCCCCAACAGCCCGAGGAGGAGACACCCACTTTGGGGAGGGGTATGGACTCCTCCAGAGGGAAAAAACTCCAGCCTGGTTGCTACTGGCATCCTCCATGGCAGGGACCCCATGGTTGGGTATAAGTCGGTATGGAGGGGAAAGTCCAAAAAAAACACACACGTCTTTATTTTTAGACAAAGAATGTATAAAAAAATTCCAGTTTTAGAAATCAGACACACAGCATATATATGTACACCTGTACACGTGGGCCCTGCCCTCACAGCTACACTCTGGGAAAAGGTGGGCACAGCCCCCCTGCGGGCACAGCTTTCGGTGCTGCCCCGGGACAGAGGGTGCCGGGCTGGCTACACATCTCTCGGCGGCCGCTCTGCAGGCGGCAGAGGCGGGGGCCGCCCGAGCATCCTGCCTCTCCTGTCCCGGCTGCAGGCAGCGAGCTCCCGCTTCTCCTCAGTCCGTCCTGGCATCCTGGCTCTTAGTGAGAGGGGCATCTTTGCCAAGTTCCGTGTCCTCCCACATGACCCAGGTCCCTTCCAGCTCAGCTCCCAGCGCATGCTTCCTAAGAGTCCATGGCTGCACAGCTTCGTTTGTTTTGGTTTTGGTGTGAGGGCTGGCACGGCAGGGTAAGGACTGTCCCGCTTTGTCTGTCCTTCCGAGGGGGAGGCAGGGATGGCACTACCAGGCTTGCCGACCTCCGGTGGGTTGAAACCCTTAATACTGACCCGTTTTGAGGCTGCTGGGTGGCAGCTTGTGCATTTGGTGGGAGTGGTTCCCAGCACTGGGGCTGGGCCCCAGGAGAGGTGAGGGGTGCCTGCCTCTGCCTCCTCAGCCCTGTTCCAGTCCTCAGGCGAGACTCGGCGTCCGAGGTCAGAGGGTCTGCAGCAGCAGGATGGGCACGAGCAGCGCAGCCCAGGCGAAGGGGAAGAGGCGGGGGGCAGCGCTGTGACCGATGCTGTGCAGAACCTGCACCTCGGGGTCATCTGCAAGGTGGGAGGGCAAAGGTGAGCAGTCCCTCCTCCTGGCCCTGGCCCTCAGCCCAGCAGGGTTCCCCTGATCCCTGCCTAGCAAAGGAGCTGCCTCCTGTCCCCAGCTGCCTCAGCAGACCCCCTGGCTCGCCCCAGCGACCTACCAGCTGCAAGTCTCTTTTCCTGCGGATTGTCCTGGGCGTGAGGACTGTGAGCTAAAACACAGAGGTGGCCATAGGTCAGGCACGGTGCCAGGGAGACAGGAGTGGGGGTGCTGGGTGGGCCGGCCAGTGGAACGCCCCGCCATCCCAGGTCACCAGGCCAGGCCCACAATGAGGGGAGGAGGAAGAAGGTTCTCGGGCCCCTGACACTCACTGGTTTTGCCATCGACAGTCACCTTCAACCTCAAGCACCGGTCCTCTGTGTGGTGGATGGGCTTGGCTGCAAGAGAAACCCACACAGGGTTAAGGAAGGGGAAGGGAACAAGTGCAGATGCCTCTCCAGCCCTCCTGTCTCCGTCCCTGCTCGTTTGAATCCCTCTCCTCCCTCCCAGCTGTGACTCTTACCTTCCTTAGGTTTTTGCCCACTTCCTGCCCCATGGTCATCCCAACCTCCTTTCTCTGGAATAACCCTTGGCTTTGGAGATGGTGGTGGAAAGAACATGGCTACTGTCCCCTCCCCGCAGTCCTCCCTTCCCTCCTCCCGGCTGGAAATTGGGCGAGGCCTGCATGGTCTCGTCCCCTCACACAGGTATTTTGTATCCCCTGGCCCGGGCACCACGGAAAGGGTGAGGCCTGCATGCATTCTACGCAGAGCTGGTCTCATCACTCCTACAATCTCCCAGTGCCCTCGGGAGAAACTCCTGCGATCTGCTCCATCCATCTCTCCAAGCTGGCCATTCCCCCCATGGAAAGTGTCCCTCCCACTCCAGCCATACGGAGTTCCCGGGACATGTCACGTTCCCTTTGCACGTGTCCCCTCATGCATGGCCGCCTCCTCTGCTTGCCCCAAGCTCCGGGAAGCCAGGAAGCCTTCTCTGAGCGCCCTCACCTGGTTCCCAGGTCACTCCTCCAGGGCCCCTGTGCTCACGTCTACCATGGCATACTGTCCTAGTGGCCCGTTACCCCCCCGTGTGTCTCTGCCCAGCTTCCCGGAGGACAGGGACCCCGTGGGTTTATCTCTGTGGCCGTGGTGCCAAGCTCAGGAGAAGCTCACTCCACACTGTGCTGTGAATGAGTGAAAACAGAGCCCGGGACTGGAGAGGCCCTCTGCAGCCTGCCCCCCCCCCCCACGAAGCAGGCACGTGGGCACCTGCCCCGCGCCAGCCGCATGCCCCGCTTGGTGCCCCTCCCGCCTCCCGGGCGCTCACAGATGTAGTAGTAGCTGTGTCCCTCCTTGAACTCCTTGCCCAGGGTGAAGGGCGTGAAGCGCAGGAACTTCTCGGACAGTTTCTCGGGGCCGTGCCTGGCGCTGGGGTGGTTGCACTGCCAGCGGACCTGCTGCTTGGATTGGGGCTGGCACAGCTGGTACTGCTCCAGGTCCACCAGGTAAAGTGTGTACTGCTCCATGGCAGCGGCTGCCACCGAGTCGTCCTCGTAATGGGGGCAGATGATGTCCAGGTAGTCATTCAGTTGCACGTGCACAGTGTAGTCCTCGCTCCGGAACCTGGGCGTGCGCGGAGGGAAGGAAGCCAGCCGTCACTCGGGAGCCAGAGGCTCCGAACGTTTCCACGGCCCCCTCACATTTCACACTGGACCCCCACACACATGTGTTGGCAACCTCAACTCCCAGTATTGACCGATCTTGGCCTCTTAAATATCTTCCCGTTTCCAAACATCCCTCCACCATCCCTGTGTTCAACAAGTAGCATCCACGTAGTGTCCTTTAGGCAGCAAAGCACTCCCCATTACCCCCTGATCTCTACCCGAGGATGGGCTGCTAAGTATTTCCTTAGCTCACTCATCATGCTCTTCCACCCATAAATATTTCCCCCAATCCATACCAGGTGTTCCTTTAAATGCTATGGGCCCCACGCCGGGACCGGTTTGGCTCAATGGATAGAGCATCGGCTTGGGGACTGAGGGGTCCTGGGTTCGATTCCGGTCGGGGGCATGTGCCTTGGTTGCGGGCATATCCCCAGTGGGGGGTGTGCAGGAGGCAGCTGATCAATGACTCTCTCTCATCGATGTTTCTAACTCTGTATCTCTCTCCCTTCCTCTCTGTAAAAAATCAATAAAATATATTTTAAATGCGATGGGCCCCAGTCTGAGACTCTACCGGCCATTCTGTCCTCAGGATCCAAGGAACCCTCCCTCTGCACCAGGCTAGCACCGCCCCACACAGTTATGTCTTCACTTCTCTTACTCCTTTCTTTTCTCGTCCTGACCCATAGCATCTACCTCCTTCTCCTCGGCTCCATTTCCCCCCACAAACCTCCAGCACACCCAGGCCCACCGAGAATGCCCTGATCCTCTAAGTTCAGTCACTTTCGTCAATTCATTCATTCCCCTCAAACCCCTCCTTCCAGCTGCTTAAAACGGCGCTCAGGCCTCCTGGTCCACTTTTCCCAAAGCACCCACACCACCATTGTCCCTTTATCTGCAAAAGCCACACAGTCAGCTGCGCCGTGAGCCCCAGAAACGCGGGAGTTCTCAGATCTGAGGCTGCCTCTCCTCCCCTCCCCCAGCCCATTCCCTCCGGGCTCCGCAGGCTCCAGCCTGACTGCCCACCAGCCCCTCCCCCCAGCCCCAGACACCTGGCTCCAGGCTGGGTGGGGTCCTGGCAGGGGGAAAAGGGCCTCCTCACCTCCCTCTCCAGGCTGGTCAGCTCCTCTGAATTCCCTAAGCACCGTCAGCTAGACACTCAGCGGCGCTGGCTGCCAACGCGCTACAAACCAAACCAAAGCTCTGGGCACTGGTGGTGGGAGGAGTGTCTGTCGGGAATTAGGCCAAGGCCTGGGAGGTGGGCACCCACTGCCCAGTCAGCATGACCCTAGGAGGCCTGGCTTTGCGGGGGGGCTGTGTCAGTTCTCAAGCTAGGCTTAGCAGGGCCCCTCCCCCACCCTGGAGAGGAGAAGGAGAGTGAGAGAGGCTGGGAGGGAGGCAGGGAGAGAGAGAGAGAGAGGCTTTTAAAATTCCTCTCTGGAGAGATAAACATAGAAGCCATTTCAGAACAGGTATTTCAGCTCTGGGCCTGGCATCCTTCCCCCATTCCAGTGAAGGGCACTGACTCATTCCTCATCCACCTCTGCCGCCCTCCCCAGTGTTCACGAGTCTGTGAAAATGTACCTTGTCAGGTGTGGACCCCAGGATGGCACAGTGTCCCCCAGGCACCCTCCCCCAGGCTGAGGGAGCTGGCAGGTCCGAATGGGCAGGGGACTTGCCCCTCCAGTACCAGAGAGGCCCGTGCCCAGCTCGCAGGAGCACCACCCTCATCCCACGCTGCCCCCCTCCAAGGTCCCACGGCTGACGGATGCTCACGGCCCTGAGTCACGGAGCCAGGCTCGGGCACCCGCCTAGCTCCCTGCCACCTCATCTTTGGCCTCGGCTGGGCCTCGCCTGGCTGCCCGTGCACTCCAATCTGGGCTGGCAAGTTCTCGTCAGTCCTGGGCATGGTACGTGAGCATGTGGCCAGATGGAATGGGGCAGAACTCTGCTCAGTGGGGGCACCCATCGCCCCCTCCCTGGGGTGCAATCTGCGCCACTGAGGACCCTTCTGACTCTGGCTCTCCCGTCGGGGAAAGGGGGGCAGTGGCGTCAGGGAAGGCGGGGAAAGGGGCAAGGAAGAGGCTCCTTCCTGAAAGAGAGGAAACCTGGGAGCTTGGGAACGGAAAAGGCCAGGGTCACCCCCTCCCTACTCGCAGCTTCCTGTCCCCTCCTCCTCCTCCAGCCAACACCTGGCATGGGCATAAACAGGGACTTTGCTCTCTCCCACTAGGACAAGATTGGGTCAAGGAAGCAAAGAGCAGACAGCAGAGAGCGCGGGGAGCGGGGAGCGGGGTGGGGGGAGGGCTGGCTGGGCTGCCCCTTGTAAACCAGGGGGGCAAGAGGGCGCTGCCCTCCAGGGCTGGCAGCCAGCTGCGCTCACCCAACAGGCCACAGACACAGACCCTCTCACCAAGCAATGCCGCTGCAGGGCCGGAGGAAGCTGGCACAATACCTTCATCAGGGAGGCTGGAGGGGAGTGCTCTTCCTGACCCCAAGCCGTTCAGCCCTCCCCTCCATTCTCCTTCCCACCCCGCCTCTCCCGTTCGTTCCGCACAGAGACTGTTCCCAAAACTTCAGAAAACTCAAGGGCAAGAACAAAGGGTCCCACGGAGCAGCGTCTTCAGTCCAGTAGTAACCATTTGCCTCGCGGCCCTAAAAACTGCCCCCGGGAAAAATTAACTCCTTGCTGCCCGGAGCCTTCGGTAACCTTTTAACCCCTTCCATTCCTCCGGGGCCTTTCCCATGACCTCCCTCCCCCATGCCTCTGGTTTTACTACCTGCGCCTCATAAACAGATGACTCCCTCGGCCTGCCGGCCGCAGCGCGTGCCTCCCTCCCTCCTGTCATCTCTGAGGATCCCCCAGCGCGGAGCTTCCCACCGGCACCCCACACACAGAGCTCCTTCTAGGCTTACAGCGAGCCCTCTGCTTCCTCCTGATGGCACACCAGGTGCCTGTCAGTGCGGGCAGATGCCCAAGCGCAGACAGGAGAGGGACCCAGGCTTTGGTGGTGGAGGGGCCGCTCCCAAGCGCCCCGGTGGCCAGGGAGGGAGGCAGGGTCTGCCCAGCATGGGTGCCTCACTTCGGGGAAGTTGAGGTGCCCCCGGGAAGGGCAGGAGGGGCAGACACAGAAACAGAAAGCAGACGCCACAGGCAGGTTCCCACCCTGGGGTGGCCTGCTCCCCGCTCTGGGGGATAAGGGAGGGAATAACACTGAAGGAACCCTTCCCGCCTCGGTGGCCACCCCAAGACCCCCCAGCGGGGGGCTGGCTGGAGCAGCTGGGCCGGGGTGCAGGGCCGGAGACCGGGCTTACTTGGGGTTCGAACTGTTCCAGAAGACGGTGTGGCGGTCGGCGGCGGCCAGGCTGTAGCAGAGACCGAGCAGAGGGGCCCAGAGGAGCTCCATATCGCGGGGCCTGGCCAGGCCGGCGGGGCGGGGGCTCTCAGGCTCCGGGCTCTGGCTGGCTCTCCCGGCGCGGGCGGGCGGCAGGGCTCGCACAGATTTCGCAGGCGGCACAGGCTCCCAGATTTGGCTCCAGCGCCGCCGGACTCCGCCTTTTGGGCCAGCGCCGCCCGCCCGGCACCCGCCCCGCCCTCGCCCCGCCCCGCCCGGCGCTGCCCGGGGGCCTGGGGCCGGGAGGTGGAGGAGGGGCGCCGGCCCGGAGCGGAGCGCGGCTCCGCCGGGGCAGAGCTGCGTGTCGCCCACTCGGGGGTCCGTGTGCCGCCTGCTGGGCCTGCCCGCGGGTGGGTGGGGGGGTCTGTGTCCCCGGCAGAGCCGTGTGGGGAGAGGGGAGCCAGCGGCTCTGGAACACGCGGGGGGAGTCCCCGCTTTGCGCGCGGCGCGGACCTCGCGGGGCGCGGGGCTGTGGATGGGCCCGCACCTCCCCGCGCGTCCATCCCGCGCTCCCCGCGTTCCCACACTCCTCCCCGCCCCCGGGGCCCGGCTGCGCTCCCGGCCCCTCCTCACATACGCGGCTGTTTGTTTTTGTTGGGTTTGTCAATGTTGTCTTTGTTCGGGAGGTTGTGTCATCGCCTGGATGCCGGGAATGAAGTGTGACCCTGAGTGACCAAGTGTGTAACAGTGTGTGGCCGGGGGTGAGGGCGCACGTCTGTGCCTGGGAGAGGGCAGCCGCAGCCTGGGCCCGCGGCAGCGTCTGCCTGTGTTTCTATGCGCCAGAGGACGCGGGCTGCGCGTGTGTGAGTGTGTGTGTGAGTGTATGTGTGTGCCTGTGTGTGTGCGTGCACATACGTGTGCGCCGCGCGGACGGGCTTTGAGTGTGGACGGTGTGAACCCGGCATGAAGTGACTCACCACACATGTGCATCTGGCATGTGATGTTGTGCAAGTGTGAGAGCGTCTGAATGTGTCCCAGCTGCGCCTGGGGGTGGGGGGAGCGTGTGAAACTTGGACGCGTGTTGCACGAAGAAGGGAAAGTGCACAGGCCGGCAGGGCACGCGGGCGGGGCGGGGGGCAGGGGTGTTCACGTGGCGCCCCGGGGCGGGGCCGCTGGGTCTCCTAATCCTTAGGCTCCAGAACCCCGCTCGCCCCCTTCCCCGCGCCCGTGAACACAGCCACTGGAATTCCCTGGGGAAAGGGGGCGGAGGGGGACGCCTCGCCAGGGTCCTCTGTTGGGCGGAGGGAGCCCCTGGCGGGGGGAGGGGGGTGGGGGGAGTCTGCCTCGCGGGGAGGCACGGACTGGCAGGTGCTGGGCTGCACGGAGTGGGAGGTGGAGTGCTGTGCGCCTGGCGGCCTGTGCGCGCCCCAGGCCAGCCCTCCCCGCAGCTCCCAGCGCGGGAAGCCGCAGGCTCCGGCCCTCCTCTGCTCCCCCCGCCGGCCGGGCCCCTCTCCCCGGTTCCCAGGCCGTTTCATCCTCCTCTTTTACGGCCGGGGCCGGCGACAGCCCCTGTAATTACCCGGGGCCGGGACGCCGAGGCTGGTCCGCGCTGACCCCGCGGGGCGGGCCGGGGCGGGCGGGCCAGGCCGGTCCCCGCCCCCGGCCTCGGGGCGCAGGCTGCGCGCGGTACGGACGTGCGGTGCGGACCGTAAATATTTACCCTCTGCCCGCGGAGGGCCAGACCCGCCCCCCCCGCCCCCCCCCCGCGCCCCGGGCGGGCTCCGGCCCCCGGCGACGTGCTCGGCCCCGCGTTCCACCGCCCCTCCCGCCGGGGCGAAGTCTACCTGCCGGCCGGCTCGGGCGCGCCTCACGCGCTCTTTACTCACCTGGGAGGTCCCGGTGCCGGCCTCCCACGTGCCCGACGGGAGGTGGTCCCGTCCCTTCGCCCGGGTCCCTGGGAACCCAGGCCCGGCGCGGGCGGCGCTGAGCACATAGTAGCTGCTCAATAAATGGCTGTGGAGCGGGTGACATCACTGTTTGGGGAAGGAACTTCTGCCCTTAGTGCTCCGAGAAGACCCGGAGAGGGGCTCCGGAGGGGGAGGAGGGTGGTGGCAGCCCTGAGGAGAGGGCAGCCCCGGGCTGCCCCCCGAGGAGGTGGTTTGGGGCACAGCCCCCCCCCCCTTCTCGGATCGCTGGGACCGCGGGGCGGGACCGCGTCGGGTCCCTCGGCTGCGCCGCTCGGTCGGGCAGGTTCAGGCTCGCTCCGCCCAAGCCGCCGGCCAAGTCCTGCCCGCGTCTGGGGCCGGGGCCGGTGGAAAAAAGGTGTGTGTGTGGGGGGCGGGGGATGATTGGAAACACGAACGGAGCCTCCTTCCCCGGCGTGGCGCTTCCCCCAACACCCTCACTTCGGGCTTTGATCTCATTCTATTTCTGTGTTTGGGGGTCGTTTTCCAGACCTAATGGGGCACCCATTAGGGGCCGGGTGTTGTAATTAGCAACGAAGGTGAGGCGGCGACTGAGATGAAATCCCTGCCCTTGGGGAGCCCGGGGACCGGCGGGGGAACAGACAAACCACTATTTATTTATTTATACAACACACTCGCCCGGGGTGTCCCCGCGCGGACCGCAGGCCGCGCTCCGGAGCGCCGCGCCGCCTGCTGGACGCAGAGGAGCGTTGCAGGCACTGCGAGACCCAGACAGACAGCAGAGGAGCCCAGAGACTCAACCTGAAGGCCAACCCACCCGTCCCGCCCCCTCCACAGTCCCGGCCTGCCCAGGCGGGTCTGCTTCTGGTTTTGGGCTCCCTCTCACCGCAAACTGGTGCGCTTGTGCAGGCTCTCACCACCGCCAGGCAAACAGCTGTGCTTAGAGCGGTCTGAGGTGTCTGTCTGTCTGTCTGTCTGCCTGTCTGGGAAATTCCCCTCCTGGGCCTTCTCTGTGAATTTCTGAGACAGGATTAACCCTCTGAGTGTCTGGCAGGAGGCCCCACCTCTGGAGGGACGACCTCTGAAAGGACACACTGCCGAAACCCGTTTGGCTCAGTGGATAGAGCGTCGGTCTGCGGACTGAAAGGTCCCAGGTTCGATTCCGGTCAAGGGCATGTACCTTGGTTGCGGGCACATCCCCAGTAGGGGGTGTGCAGGAGGCAGCTGGTCGATGTTTCTCTCTCATTGACGTTTCTAGCTCTCTATCCCTCTCCCTTCCTCTCTGTGGAAAAATCAATAAAATATTAAAAAAAGAAAAGAAAAAAAAAAAGGAAGGACACACTGTCCACCCTGGGGGTACTGCCTGCCTGGAGGCGCCATTTCCAGTCTGGACCTGGCAGAGCTACTTGATTGCTACTCCTTTACGGGGCACCCTGAGGTTGGGGTGGCAAAACCACAGGGTCCTGGGGCGCCTGCTAACCTGGCCCAGCCCCTGAGGGTACCTTTAGACAGTGGGGTAAGGGCGGGAGGCCTGAGCCTCTGTGCCATTCCCTCAATGTCATTCTGAAAAGTCAAGTGTATGTTTCCCATTTTATTGATTAATTGTGTATATTTCCCACTGTATTAATAACTAGAGGCCTGGTGCAGGAATTCAGGCACAGGTGGGACCAGCCGGCCATCCCATCAGGCCTATAGGTCAGGGCAGGGGTGGGGTGGGAGGTTGGCTGGCCGGCCAGCCCCCTGGTCGAACTTCCGGTGAAGGAGACAATTTGGATATTAGCCTTTTATTATATAGGATGTATGTAAAGTCGGAAAAAAGAGAACAGGAGTCTTGGCCGGGTAGCTCAGTTGGTCGGAGTGTCATTCTGATATGCCAAGGTTGTGGGTTTGGTCCCCAGTCAGGCACATACAAGAGGCAATCAACAAATGCATGAATGACCGGAACAACAAATGAGTTTTCTCTCTCTCTCTCTCTCCTCTCCTCCTCTCCTCTCCTCTCCTCTCCTCTCCTCTCCTCTCCTCTCCTCTCCTCTCCTCTCCTCTCCTTTCTCTAAAAAATAAATAAATAAAATTAGAGAGAGAAAGAGCGAGAGAGAACAGGATCCCTAGCTGGTTTGGCTCAGTGATTGGAGCTTTGGCCCTTGGACTGAAGGGTCCCGGGTTTCATTCTGGTCAAAGGCAGGGCAGGTGGGCGAGTTGGGGGGGCACTCTATCGATGTGTCTCTCACACATCGATGTTTCTATGTGCCCCTTCCCTTCCACTCTGTTTAAAAATCAAAGGGAAAAATATCTTTGGGTGAGAATTAACAAAACAAGAGAGAGAGAGAGAGAGAGAGAGAGAGAGAGAGAGAGAGAGAGAGAGAACAGGAGGAGAATAAAGGGGAAGAGGAGCCACCAGCCAGCTTTTCTGTTGTGAGATTTTGGGTGGGGTGGGGGTTGCTTGCTTTTACACAGTGTGAAAAATATCACACATTTCTATTGTGTACTTTTTTTTCTCCTTTAATGTTATGACAGAAGACATTTTTCATGTTGCAAACTCTTTATAAACAACATTGGTTTTAATAATTTTATTTTGAATCCTCTCCTGAGGATACGTTTTTATTGATTTTTAGAGAAAGAGGAAAGGAGAGAAAAGCATTGATGTGAGAGAGAAACATTGATCAGCTGCCTTCCATAGGTGCCCAGTGCAAAGCCTTTTGTGTATTGGATGTCAGTCCAACCAATTATAACCACTTGGCCAGGGCTGTAAATAATTAACACATATTTATAGCCCTTGCCAACTTGGCTCAGTGCATAGAGTGTTGGCCTGTGGACTGAAAGGTCCCAGGTTCCATTCTGATCAGGCACACCTGCCAGTGGGGAGCATGCAGGAGGCAGCTGATCAATGATTCTCATCATTGACGTTGCTATCTCTCTTTCCTTCTCTCTTCCTCTCTGAAATCAATAAAAATATATTATAAAAAACAATTTATATATATTTACAACCAATATTTAAAAATATCTTTATTGATTTTAGAGAGGAAGAGAGAAGGAGATGGAAACATCAATGAGAGAAAATCAGTGATTGGCTGTCTCCTGCATGCCCTCCACTGGGGATGGAGCCAGTAACCTGGGCTTGTGCCCTGACCGGGAATTGAACCAGGGACC